TGACCCAGAGGTGTGCTGGTGCGCTATAACTTTACGATTCAGTTGTCATGGAAACACCAATGTTCATTCAACTCATTTATTCATCAGCTTTAGAGTAAACAGCGTTGACTGACCAGTGCTCACATAATTCTAGGTCAGCTTCTGGGTGTTTCTAGGTCGCTTTTCCACACAGGGACGCACAGAAACACAAACTCAGTATAAAAGAAACACGCAGAGAAACAGATTCATGTTGAAACAAAAGATGAAAGTCAAGAAAGAGGTGTTTGCAGGTCATTGATTAGAAGGAGCAGAAGATACAGAGCAGCTAATGCTGGGCATATACTTAAAGACAATCAAGCTTTTGGGCCTGGTTCCTCCGTCCCAACAAAGCCCTAATTTTTTGATGATTTTCAAAATCATCTTGTGAGATTTGCCTGTGACATGAGCTAGCCTGAATTATATGTTAGTGTTTTTTTGTGCAATGTATACAATCTGATATCCTGTTGTGAGGGGAGAACCCTGAGATCAACTGAGGATCGCTGGCGGTCCTGCAGTTCTCAGAGGTCAGAATTTACTCACCTACAGCTCACATTGTAACTGTGTAGTCCATGTTCATGCCGTCTCCATGACTTTACCAATATTTTAATTTTTTTCTGTAAAAAGTTGAACAAAAACTAACGGCTAGATCCTCCTGCTCATCACAGCCATGTTTGCCTACTCTAAAGCTCTGGTTCCCAGCAGGTTCAGCCACGGGGTCCAGAATTCTCCTTAGTCATTGGGTCAAGGTCCACAGAGTGTAATATACTCAGTGTCTAACTTGCGTTTGGCCATGTCATCGAGCAAGTTTGTTGTCTCTGTCAAGTAGCTGTCCGTTAGTCACTCACTCTACAGCAGGAAACTGCACTTCAAGCGTGCCAAAAATTCACTGTACTTCAAAATAAAGTGTGTATTTTTATATAGACTTGACACGTTCGCGAGTGACTTGTGGTCCATTCAGAATGGACCAGCAACCCACTTTTGGACTGCGACCCACGAGTTGGGAACCACTGCTCTGAAGTCCAGTTTGACTGCAAGATATTTGTTAGATTTCCAGTTTTGAGAGTCAGAACGCAGGTTGTGCGTGAGTGGAATCTGTTACTGGTTTGGGCCAAAATTCTTGCTCTCCACACACTACAGGAAGAAAACTGTTAAACTTATCATTGCATGTCATTATGTGTGGGGTCTCACACATTTCAACATCTGAAAAATCTCTTTGTGGAGGTCAGCCATAAGAAAGTTAGTCTGCATATTACTAGGAGGAGACACAAATGGATTGTCATTTTGTCAGCCTAATCACACACAGGAGCAAAGCATCGTTTGCTGTATGTGCTAGGACTTTATATCTAAACTATGACCAGGATGCACATATTACTTTCCCTGACTGTGTTGAAATCTAATGTTCTCACATTGTGAGAGTGCTTAACAAAAGCATTAAAGCGTGAGTTTCAAAGGTGAAACATTAGACTAATGTAGGCTGAGGCGGCTGTTCTGCAGGTGCGCTGAACTGATACTAATTAGGTAGTAGTTAGTATCAGTTATTTGTAGGTAAGATGTGCTGAGTGTGAGTGTTTATAGGAGTGAAAAACATCAATAGACAAGAAAAGCATGAACCACAAGGATGGATTTAAGTTGAACACTTAAAAAAGAGAAAAGGGGAAGATAAACTGACAATTATTTTTATACAGGTAGATTAAGAAAAGTGAAATCTGTGTCAGAGTTTTTATTGATATGTATTTTCTGTAATATATGTTGTATATTGTATGCTCAATATCCACATAATGCTCCAGGCGTCCTGCTGCTCTGACCTTGAATAGAAGAGAGAAGTTAATATTTTTAGGTTATAAATTTTATACGACCCACAATTCTATTTTCATCATATCAACACACACACACACACACACACACACACACACACACACACACACATTCAAACACACACACATGCACACACAGCTGGGGGATTCAAATCTCTGAAGAGACACATTTCCGATTATTACTTTCAGCTGTGACTCTTGCTCGATCATCTGGGTCATCTGCTTTCAGAAAAGACATTATAGAAGCGTTTGCCATATGTTCCCGCATTTTCAACTGCGAGCTCAGGAAAAGCACAGAAAACAGAGATATACAGATAAATGGGTAAACAGATGCAGCGCGCTGAAAGAGGGAAAGATCTCAGATCCCTTTCAGCCTTCCTCTCCGCTCTACCAAAGAATCAGCGCAGGCACTTCTGTCCTGACTTTTCCACTCTGCACTCGGAGCAGAAATTCTGACGCTTGCAGAAATGCTAATTTCACCTCGCAGCTAGAATAATTTCGCAAATGCTATATTTTCACTTTGAAAACCTCTCTGAAGTTCATTATTTGGTGAAGTCATAGGTTTCAGTCTGCATGGTTTCTGAACAGTTTTACAGGAATGCCCTGGACAAACCAATCAGCAGCATTTAGGACATAAAACACATAACACACATAAAATCCCATAAATAAAACTGAATTTAAATAAAAAATAGTTGCTTTGACATTCTGTAGTATGTCCTGACAGAAGTACACGAGGCAGATAATCTGTCAAAAAAGTGCTCCCAATGGCATTTGCAGGAGTCCTGAAAGCTGAGGACTACACCTGTCAATCATGTCAGTCTTTGTGGACTGTGGTCAAACTGTCAAACTAGGCAGCGCTGATCAAATATGAATCATGATTCTGTTACTGCATCCCCTGTGTCTCACATCAGGAGTTTTCAGAGGCAAAGTTTGCTCTGGCTGGCGGGCGATGCTCTGTTTCAGCTTGACTGTTTCCAACATGGCAACCAGGTCACACACTATCTCATTTTACAGTTACAACAGTACACTAAAATATGTTTCTGAAAACATTTGAGGTGAGAAAAAAGAAATGTTAACCAGGATCTTGATTCAGTTTTGATCAGCGCTGCCTTGTTTGAGAGTTTGACCACAGTTCAGCGATCAATGGCATGATTGACAGCTACTCTCTCTGAAAGCTGTGGTGCAGAAGTCTAGTGTTCTTTCAGACCTCTTGAATTACAACATGCTAAAAGTTTATTGCGGAATTTCTGCCCAATGGTGCCAAAATTACACTGCCTACCACGGCTTTAAAGGATAGTTTGGATTGTTGAAGTGGGGTTGTATGGGCTACTTATCCATTGACAGTGTATTACCTACAGTAGATGTCAGTCAGCACCTACCAGTTTGAAGAAGCAGACTGGAATCCGATACAGAAGCTAAGAAATGTACTGCTGTGGAGGGGTCGGCAACATAACATATTTTAGCCTCCTAAAAAAATCAGTTTAAGTGTACGCTATATTGAGAGTATTTTCATCACTTTAACTGGGACGCTGTTAACGGCTTCTGTTCCCCATCTATGCTTTCGTCAAAGCCACCAGACTCCATGGACAAATCCTGTAATTTTAGCTCGCTGAACACAGGATCCGCTGCTCGATAGCTGCTTCGATCAGGTAGTTAGTTTGTGTTATTTTGTGACTTTGGTGAATCCGGATGAACTCTTTTAAAGGCCAAAGTCACACATACAAACAAACTAACTGACTGAGGCAACGGTAGACCAGTAGCTCCTGTGTTGAGTAATGTTAAATCACTGTTTTTCTCAATGGAGTCTGGCTTACAAGAAAGCGATGTAATGGCTTCTTTTTCCAGTCAGAAATCACTGTATGACAGAAAGGTGAAGCAGTGACAGTACTCTAAATATTGTGAACTTTTAAATGGATATTGATTTTTCTTTTTAGGTGGGACTTTTTTTTGGTGGCTAAAGTATGTTTTGTTGCTGACCCCTCTGCAGCAGTACACTACTTAGCTTCCATGTCGGACTCCAGCCTGCTTCTCCAAACTGGGGGCGTCCTGACTATCATTTACTCTATGTAATATATACGAGGGGTGACTAAAAAGTTTTGAGCCCCAAGAAAACAAGATAAGATACTGATTTTCCAGTGCTTTTATATTTCAACACAATCCCCCTCAAGAGCAACACACTCGCTCCAACTTCTCTACGACTTCCATGACGTCATTGTCTTTGGCAAAATGTCTCCCTGAGCTCATATTCATCACTCTCCCTGCCTTGCTTGAATTCTTGTACCTCCCGTTTGACTGTGGCATTGTCATGTTAAGTACTGAGCATATGTGGGTGGATTTCAGATGGTGACATTCCTTTGAGATGAAGATATTTGATCAGATCGCAACACTCCAATTTCTCCATTTTCAACAAATCACTGACCACTATTCAAGAATCTGCAAAAATAAAACTAAAAGATTTCAAAACATGAACATGGTTAATGAAAAAAAGGAAAAGTGGTATATTCTATATTATTTGGCTTGCGTAGTTGCCCATTTTTTGGGTTAGGCTGGAAAACTTTTCAGTCACCCCTCATACTGTATAAGTACTGTATAATGTATCAGTACCCCATACAACCCCTGTGTTTTTACAATCGTGCTACATAACCAGACAGCATTCACCACACTGATAGAGCATGTTTAAGTGTTGGCATGCACATTAATTAAATAAACCAACAGATACATATGAATCAACAAATCTGCTCATTGTGCATCAGTGAGTCAAGAAGAGAAACTCAGCATTCATTATGTGATGCTATTTTGTCTGTTGATATGATTGAATTTGTCTCCTTGTTTTTTCACCTGACATTTTACAGTCCAGTGCCGCTGTTTGAATTCACCAGGACCAACATATTTTAGTTGTTTTAAAAGGGTTGTGTAATTTGTAAGATGGCTCCACTGTGAAACCATTCAACAGAACTACACTTGGTTACATAAAAGCAGCTTTTACACAGTTTTACAAAGCCTCGTTTGTTCTTCTTTGGATATGCAAAGCATCCGCACTGACTTACTGATGACAAAGCCCTTTTCCACTGTATTAAATATGGATTGGCCTGTTTGTCTTCTCTTAAACAAAAGAAAATCTTATTCTCTTTCTTCCTCTCTTTTTCTTTTTTCTGTCTGTGTCCTCAGGATGAGAAGAACCAAGTACTGATGACCAACGCCTGGCTGCAGCTGGTGAGTCAAAGTTTGAGAAGACCATCAATTTAATGTGCTTTAATTATATTTCTGACTTTATTACACAATTATCTTTTAAAGACGCTGTGACTGTGCATCTCAAATGACTATAGCGCTACTACATTAAGTGCTTGTTGATGACATTGAATTTTAAGTGTGCAAGTACAGAGATACAATTTATTTCCTGGATTAATTATTTGTACTTACTCAGTCTAAAAGAAACATTTAGAATCTAATATTTACTGTATAACCATCTCGTCTTAGTGTTAGCTCGTCCATCCAAGTATTTTTAAGCTATATGCAATTATTATCAGAGCTCACAGTTTCACAGAACACTTATCCTCATTACTGGAAGTCAGCTACCAGTTGTTGCTGACTGTGTGTGTGTGTGTGTGTGTGTGTGTGAGAGAGAGAGAGAGATGGTAGGAGACTACTTTGTGTGTGTCCATGTTCAATGCTGGCATCAGCATACTCGAGAAAACATCGCTTCAGGCAGATTGTCAAGACGAAAGTGAGAAAAGCATTAGGAGGAGGAAGATGGAGGAAGAGTGCAGCATATTTAAGTGGCAGTCAACTTGATAGTTAATGGACTTAATGCCAACAGGCGAAAAACTCCACAGACAGTTTTTAGCCTTGAGCCAAATTAGTCTCAAGTAGGACACAGTGTGATTGGTGCTCACTGTTTTAAAGTACAGCAGATTTCTCGTCTTGGTGCTTTGGAAGGACGGGTAAGACGCAGAGAGAACAACCATCTCTAGGTTGTTATCCATTAGTGTTCATCTTCATTTTTAAAGGTCCAGCATGTAGGATTTAGGGGGATATATTGGCGAGATTCTTCAAGTTGAGCAGTCGGTTTTGTTTTTGTGTGTTTGTCAGTCGGTGTGCAGTGTACTTCTGGGAAGTTTCAGTCCCCAGATTTAGCTGTAGTGTCAGTGCTCCTTGATTTCACGATGCTCTTCGGTACAGGCAGCTGCAGACACAGAGGCAGCTGCCTAGAAGAGGAGAGGCTTTGCCCCTGCCAGGCTCCGAGATAATGTTGTCTTTTGTCTTCTGCATAGAAGTGGTGAATTTACAGCTCTCAGCAACTTATTACAATACAGTCTTTGGCCTATGTTTGATATCTAGTGTCAGCAAATGTACATTGCCCATTTCGGATGCATTGTTAGCATGGTTGGCTTGTTTACTATATTATTTGAATGTCACTGTCACACTGAATGTCCCTCTGAACTCTGTTCAAACTCAATATGGGGAAAAAAAAGAGAAGAATAGTTTAGTGTTTGTATTGAACAGCCAAATCTGATTCAGCTGACAGAATTCTGATTTGGGTTCAGCCCTACCGTTCATATATACATATGGAGGAAGTCCTCTCCCTAGAGTTCGCCATGTTGTTTTACTGTAGCCCAGAACGGACAAACCAAACACCAGGATAGAGCTTGGCATAGGAGAGAAGTTTTAATTGGTTACAATTTTTAACCTTGCCACTAGATGCCACTAAATCCGACACACTGGCTCTTTAAGCCATCAGGTGTGGCTGTTAGAAACAGGAATGACCTTTTCTTTCCATTCCTTGATTACTTCAGACTTGCTGTTTGATTTTGAAAACGGTAAAACAGCAAAAATCATCTTACCCCTCCAGTTTATTTTCCTTCCTGGCAAGACACAGCCCTTCTTTTATCTATCAAATGTTTTCTTGTAAAAGTTCAATTAGATTAGTTCAACAAGCCATCAGACATTACAAGTTTGGCAGAGCATGGACGTTATTGCACCCATTTAAAAAAGATGTAAGATCACATCACATGTAAGAAAGTTCCTCTGTGAAAATGTCTCTCTCTGTCTCTTTCTGTCTGTGTCTCAGTACTGGACGGACATCTACCTGAGTTGGAATCCAGAAAATTACCCTGGTGTCCAGAACCTGCGATTCCCTTCAGACCAGATCTGGACCCCTGACATCCTCCTTTACAACAGGTTAGAGCTGCTTTCTCCTGCTCATCACCACCTTCCTTAAAGCAAATGTAAAGGACATATTACACTAACGATGTATCACTGAGGAATGTAAAAACAACGTTACGGTGGAAGGGGGTGCTTGCAGTGATGAACCTACAAAGAATCATCACCTGAATCTGCAGCTCCCCTCGACTAACCTCAGTGTAATCATTGGCGGTACACAACACACCTGTGCACTACCCCGGTGGTAGAGGCTCCACCTCCTGGGAGGTGTAGTTTTTTTTTTTTGTTTTTTGTTTTTTTTAAAGTACTGAATGGCAAACTGTGAGGCATACAAATGGAAGCCATATTCTTACGATACCAGAATACAGAAAAGGGGGATGGAACACAGTGAATACAGAAAAACATGTAAAATCAAAAAGCACCTTAACAGTATCAGATTACAGGGGCACATCTTTAGATAGCCACTGTGCACTACCTACTCAGCACCAATTAACCAATCTGGAAATCCATCGGTTAAAAAAAAAAAAAAAAAAAAAATTACCTCTGGAGGCACAGCCCAGAGTTCAACTAACCGGAAGTGAAGGGGCCTCACGCCCTTCACTTCCAGCGGTGCCCCCAGGGAATCGCCGTGTTGTTTACAAATACTTCGGGTAGAAAACCAGCAGAGTTTAGCTATATATCACCGTGTAGACTAATCTGATGTTTGTTAAGTCTATAAACACAATGACTGAACAAACGTTACTATTTCTGTGTGCACGTAATTAATATGGTTATCGTAGAATAGCTGGGCTAACCGTTAGCTGTTAACATTAGCCGTTAGCGTTGTCTATAACCATAGACTGTATAAAAATAAGGTAATAACTCAATAAACGGTCCATGAATAAAATATTTTTTCCAGCAAATATCTTAGTTACAACATGATTGAGCTAGCAAAGCAGTTTTGTGTTGCTATGTGTGGTATTTATTCAGTTATGGGAAATCACGATGTCTAGAAAGCAGCAGTGGCTGCAGCAGACAGGGACAGTTAGCAAAGCTAACATCAGGACGTCATCTGTTAAAAGCCTCCCGTTGCCGGATACGACATGAAACTACTCCAGTTAGCTCAATCATGTTGTAACTCAGACATCCGCTGGAAAAAATTTTTTTTTTCCACGTTGACGAGACGGCATTACTGGAGCGGTCGCTATGGATGCGCTATGGACGCGGAGCTTGCTGTTTCTGTAGGTACACATTTCCTGGGGACACCTGCACGTCTCGGCCGCACCCCCTCCATTGTGATTGGCTAAAGCGCAGCATCGTTCAGACTCAAAGCCCCGCCCTCCCCCCCTCTCTAGTCATCTTTCACACAGGGCTGCCGACAGATTCTACAATGTAGATTGCAGAATCTGTCTTGAGAGATTACCAATTAACAGACAGACACAGAGACTAGCTGGGGAACATAGTGGAGCATTTAGCGACTAAAGATTCAGATATTTCCCTCAGGAAATGGTAGAGACCAAAAACCGAGCTAAAAACAAAGTGACTGTTGTAATAATAATAAATAATAATACAATGGATTTATATAGGGCTTTTCAGGATACTCATAGAGGCTTTGCAGAAAAAAAAATCCATAGGGAGGTAGGGAGAGAAATAGTCCAGAAAGGGTGAAGTACACTGAATTTAGAGGTCATAGGCAGTTTTGAAAAGGTGTGGTTTGAGGGTTTTCTTGAAGGTGGAAAGTGAGGGGGAGTCTCTGATGTGTTTAGGGAGTGAGTTCCAGGGGGTGGGAGCAGCAATGGAAAAGGTGCTATCCCCCCAGGTGCAGTGGTTAGTTCTAGTGGAGGGAGACAGGAGGTCGGCATCAGCAGTCCTAAGAGTGCGGGAGGGAGTGGAGCTCAGCCAGGGAGGGCGGGAGCCAGGTTGTGCAGAGCTTTGTAAGCGATGATGAGGAGTTTGAAGTGGAAGCGCTGGGGGATGGGGAGCCAGTGGAGGTTATGAAAGATGGGGGTGATGTGGTCACGGGTGTGGCAATGTGTGAGAAGAAGAGCAGCTGAGTTCTGTAGTTTCTTGAGAGTTTTGGGTGACAAACCATAGAGGAGACTATTGTACTTACTTATTTACTTATTGTACTTACGTTTGCCATGACTCCAGTCCTGCTTTATAACAACTGAATGTAGCAATATGCAAGTGTTTGCCAACACAAGTTGACATATCAATGTAATATTGGTGATATGTCAATGGTGAGTTTACAGCTTGTTTCCACTGCCCCCCAAAGTGACTAAAAAAATGGAGGTTTAGGTTTGAAAGGTTGTGACCTTTTTCTTTTCTTTTCTTTTTAAATAATCTCCTTTTTGAGTTCAGTGCTTTCATTATTTTCTTGTTGTCAAACGTGATATAATCAGTGTTTTAATCCACCTTTGTCAGTCCAGGAGACAAACACACCTGTCAGAGACGGTGTGTTTTCTCCCTATTTTATTTTTGTGTGTTGGAGTGATTGAATATCAGTCTAATCCTTCTGATTCACTGCCATTTTATTAAATTCAGTTTTTAATCTCCACAAACCAAAGCAGTTTCAGGGTTACTTTAAGCTAACGTGAATAATAATCACACCCAATCAAACACAGAACCCAGCGACACAGGCAACATGAGGAGACGGGTTTCTCCAATAGCTTTCTTCTAGGACAGAAAAGAGGTGTATTAAGAGAAGAAAAAACATTTTAATGATTAATTTGCTTTACTGAACTTTACTGAAATAGAATTAACATGTTGGAAGTGATTTTACTGGCCCTCCATCATCTTAGCTGTCTCAATTCACTCTGTCAGTCAGCCTCATTAAGATGCGGAGTAGTAGCTGACAAAGGCTTAATGATGTGATTTAGACTTACTCATTAACAACAGACAAACTAATGTCATGAAATGAAAGCTGATTTTGTTAAAATGCTGTTATTTTTCATTAAATACAAATAAAATGGGGTGTTTTTTTAAGAATGGAGACACAGGGCTGACGTCCTTATTTTAATAAATGAGGTTGAGGGAGCTCATTGCATTTTTTGATTCAGGTCAGGCTGTATCCACTGTTCTTCACGCTTCTCTGCGAGGCTTTCTCGAGTCAATTAGAAATGTAGGCCAGTTGTTTTTCCCCAAAACAACTAATTGCACTGAGTTTGCATGCTTGACTGAGAAAGGGATGATCGTCTGAGACTGGGGAGACAGACAGACAGACAGACAGACAGACAGACAGACGGGTTCAGTCACAAAGAGGCAGACAATGGCACAGATAAAATGTGGGGAGAAGTGTGTAAAATAGAAGATGTGATAGATGTGACTACGTAAAGTGAGCTGGGCAGCTTTTCATTTGGTCTTCATTGATGTTTGTGAGGGGACGGAGACAGTCAAACACACACATGCACATCACAGGGAACACAAGGACAAAACAAAGGTTTGGAGGTATTAACCCAAATTTTAAAAGCTCAGCTTTCAGACCTGCCAGGATTACCCATCCTAATCTCCCTGCTCTCTCTGCCTTTTACCCTCTGCCTCCACTCCTCCCTCTCTACCTCCATCAGCCATCCCGTCTTACCATCTCTCTCCTCATCTCATTCTATTTGTGTCTCCCTCTGTCTCTCTTTCATAACTCACTGTCTCACAATAATTCACTCTATTCAATCAACTCTTTCTCTCCATATTTTTTATCGTCCCCAGCCTTCACTGACTCCTCTTTATAAATCATCCCAGCTACCTCTCTGTCTGTCGAGGTGTCAGCACGTTACTCTGCCCCTCTTCTCTCAGTCTACCTCTTTGTGTCTTTCTAGTGTCTCCGCTGCCTTCTCTTGTGCTTTGTGTTACTTTGCCACCTTCTCAAATCTGTTCACACATGAAAACAACAACTCTGATTTCTTTAGGACAACTTTAGATGTGTTTGCTTTGCCAAATATATACTGTAGGATAAACAGGTGCCGCCTGTATTATGTTCACTTGCAATCTTTTATCTAATCCTGGGAATATATACTGCACAGAGGTCAAAGGAAGGAGGTCACAGACGTAGGTTGGGTGTCCAAAGCACATTGACTTTGACATCAGAGACTCGAGTTTGTGTCCTGCAGCTCTTGTGTTGTGAGGTTTAGCCCTTAAAAACACTCAGTTAAGGTACGGGAAAGTTTGTCATTTTGGTAAAATACTGAAAAGGACCAAGAGTCTACCGCCATTATAGCTGCTCTGTGGGGCTGGTGACTCAAACTGAGGAGGACTGAGAAATCCTGCCCACCATGTCATGTTATTTTACACTGGTCGGCAACTTTACTTTCTGATGCTCAACAAAAATTAAGCAGTACAACAATGGCTTACAAGTTTTTTTTAAAAAACAGTCACTAAACCACATGTGTGCGTGTTGCGCCACTGCAGCCAGTTTATCGCCCATACTGGGATCCAGTCCCGGGTGAGCGCAGTGGAGCAACACGTTGGACTGCCACATGCCACCATACTCCCATCGTGTGTCCAGCCTGGACAGCTTAGGCAGCGAGGCGCTTAACACTCCTTCAAGGCTGCGACAACAAGCTAACTGTTTCGTTGGCTAATGTAGGCAGCCAGCTACTGCTTGATTAAAAAAAAAGTCAACGGTAAATTTGAAATGATAATAATAATAATATAATAAACTTAATACAGCACCTTTCAAAACACAGTTACAAAGTGTCGTACAATACAATTAAACACATTTAAAACACAAGGAGAATGAAATAAACAGTGTCATAAAATGTCACCAAAGTAAAAGATAAAATAAAAAAGGAACCAACCCAGTGTCAATATTGTATGCTGGTTGTTGATTGGTTAGGGAAGACATCCTCTGTGGGAGCATCATTTTACATGAATTAACCAATAACAGATTAGCATTGATCCCATCCTAAGAAGGACAACAGGAGCCTGTCTTCTGCCCCCCACCACCACGTAATCAGAATTTCAATTATGGCCTTTTTTCCAAATGAGAGAGAAAAATGAGACTGAAATGTGGTTATTCTTTTTGTCAACTAATTACTTTCTTATAT